ACCCAAAAGGAAAAAAAAATAGAAGAAACAAGGACAGACAAGAGATGTCAACAAATAAGCAGATAAAAAAAAAAAAAAAAAAAAAAAGTGAGGACTGCCTAATGAATGAGGCTTTTATTTCACGAACACGAGAATTCCAGGCAGGGAATCGGTCTGATCGCTTTGAGGGAAACGGGAAGGGTCCGGGCTCCTTACCCAAGGAGTGATGTTCCGCGGTTCTGCCTTTCCAGGGGCCTCCACCTGGACTTTGCTTCCTCCCCATTCGGCACTTTGTACCGCATCACCATCAACAGCCCTGGCCTGCTCTACCCCGCCGAGCTCCCGCCGCCCTACGAGGCCGTGGTGGGCCCGACCCCCACCAGCCAGGTGAGGCCCGACCCCGACAGGCCAGTTCCCCATTCCCGGTCCTGCTGCCTGCGCTGGCATCTCCCTCAGCCTTTCAGCAAACCTGTGGGACGCTGGTCGTCTTAGCCCGGTCGTGGGGGAGCAGAGGCAGCAGGTGCAGAGAGCAGATCCTGCAGAGATGGCAGCCAGGTGGGGATTCCAACCCCATGTCTGTGCTGACTTTCCTTGCCTCCCCTCAGATGTGCTGGGGACACAGTGCAGAAAGAGCTGGCCCAGGCCCTGACCCGTGGGCAGAGGCCCCCTGGGGTGGGGTTGAGCCACGGTCTGAGTATGCAGGGGTCTCTGGGCTGTTTCAGCTACAGGCCACTGTCAAAGTCATCCGGACACCTGAGAGAGCTCGTCTGGATTCCTGATCTTGTCAGAGGCCTGGCGGCTACAGCCAGGGAGGTGCCTGATCCCAGCGGGCAGGCATTCGGGACATGCGGCCTCAGTTTCCTCATCTGTGAAATGGGGTCATAATAGTACCAAGCACATCGGCTGGAACAGGATGTTTGTAATGGACAGGACTGGGCACATGGCAGGGTCTGACTCAGCAAAAGCCACGTGCCCTTTCTTGGTATTATTATCCTCGTCCTCATAATTGTCATTGCTGAATATCGAGGGGCACCAGCCAGGGCAGAGAGGTGTGAGCACCAGTAAAGCCCATCTGGTGCCCAAGTGCAGACGGAGTGGTAGGGCCATGCGGGTGTCCCCCAGGGCACCACAGGGATTGGGGCGTGGTGGGCAGCCACAGCCATCAAGGGAGCAGGGGCACCGGGACAGGGCTGCAGCCACTCCTGGGCCCTGCGCATCAGTCAGAGGAGGCACAGACAGACCCGGAGCATCAGGGGCACGCTGTGATGTCTCAGCAGTCACGGAGCTGCCCTGACACGTGTCCCCGCCGGGAGCCCCTCGCCTGGAGGTGGTGCAGGCCCCGACCTCGCACTGTCGCCCTGTGAGAAGGTGACCGTGGTGAGCTGGCCAGGCGGCAGGGCCCATCCGTTCCCGCCACCCCCTGAGGATCAGCCCTGGGGTCCCCTGTGCTGGGCTCAGCATCCAGGGGATGAGACCGGAGACAGTGCCGTCCACAAGGCGATCAAGTCCTCAGGCCAGTGGCCATGTGACGGGAAGGGACGAGGCTCGACAGGCTCTCCTCGGGGTCCTGGGGAGGGACTGCTCAGCAGCCCCTAGCCCCGGCCAGCCACCCAGCCCACCCTGGCCCAGGCAGAGGCTCCTGACACCCCGGGGCCTCCCTCCAGGCCTGCTCCCACCGAGAGGTCCGGAGGCTCGCCAGGCCCCCGCGGCAGAGGGACTCGGCTGGGACTCCTGGCTGTTTTCCTGTCCACGGGAGAAACAGAGGCATGGGGCTGTGAGGAAGGAGGCAGCGGTGTGACCATGACTCTCATCTCTAGACTTATAATAACTGAAATTCTCTGGAATTTTCCCCTTTAAAGTGGAGCAAAGCATTCTGCCTTCCTGGAGTGGGTTTATTTTTCTCTTCATGATAAAAACAGTTCAAATCAATATTGTCAAGGGAAACCGCTTCTTGTGGTAACAGTCAGAGCCCTGAGTGGAGTCCCGGGTGCTGCAGGGCCCTGGGCAGGGTTGCTGGTCCCTCCGTGTGTCCAGGGACCCTGGGAGATGAGGCCTCGGCCCAGTGGGCAGCAGGACGAAGGTCAGGGAGGAAAGGCAGGGATGCTGCTGGGGAGGGAGCAGCTCCTGCAGAGGCTCTGAGGGAGGGGTGAGCATGAGGTGGGGGGCCGACCCACCCACTGGGCCTCACTGGGTGCCAGGGTCATTAGAACATCCAAGCAAGTGTCCACGGCTGCTAGGATCTGAGGTCGGGGCCTTAGAAAGATCAGGGTTCGCTGCAAAGATGGTCATGGAAGCCCTGGAGACCGGGACGGGTTGAGGCCCTAGGAGAGGGCATGGGGTGGGGTCCTGGAAAGCCTGGACTCAGACACCAGTGGTCAGGGAGGAAGGCATGGGCCAAATGCTGCCTGGAGGCTGTGAAGGACTGAGCCCCGTCCACCTGGCTC